ATTTTTTGAACCTCAGTAGCCATATTATGCCCGATTGAGACTTGGTTATAACCAAAATTCAGCGAAACTCAACTTGCTTGTTATGTTTCGGAATTTTTTCGGTCTCTCCTTAAAAAGGTAATTAGTGAGATGAAGGGTACAATGGTAATTTCGTACACCGAAAACTCGATGAACCTCCAGGGGTAATTATGAAAGCTGGCATGTATTATTTCAATCATTTGAGTACATTCTTTTCTGTTCTCTTTCTTCTCTCACCCCTCCAACCTGTCCCTGCCTGCGGTACTCACAATACAAACACGTACAGTTCGCCAGTGATACCTACAATGCAGGTCAGTCCAGTTTCTGTTGTTGTTTCCGTTTCTTCCATGGCTCGAAAACCCTTCTTCATCTATCTTGGAATCGGAGTTTTTCCAGTCCCAATGATGCGTGTTCTTGTTTCTGTTGGTTTCAGACGAGGACTGTCCAGGTAAAGCAGGTTTCAGATCTAGCGACCGAGAGGGAGATTTACGAGTTCTTCTCGTTCACCGGTGACATAGAACACATTGAGATCACACGGTGAGTTCCTGGGCCAATGTGCACATTTTGGGTGTCGATTTCATGCGTTTGATTCTTGGATCTTTCTTATTTGTTTTGAAGTTTTGTTGAATGTTGTGTCTGGTTCCCGAAAAAATGAGGGGGGGATGATGACAGTTGGAATTTTCATTTTTTTTTTTTTTTTTTGTTTGGGATGCAGAATGTTCTGTTCGGTTGCTGGGAAAATTGCGTTGGGATAAAGAAAAGTGAAAATATGGAGATTTATTTGCGTGGGATGCAATTTAGTTTTTAAGTTCTGACCTTTTCTTTTTCTTCTTATTGTATCTTAGTGTCTTTTTTAATTGGGATTCTGTTTCTTATGTAATTTCCTGGAAAATGGAAGAGAACACAGACTTAAATCTGATGGAGCCTGGCTTTTTAGTCTTCTATGTAGTTTAGGTATGAAGATAATTGGGAAATTTAAAAGTTTTGTTGAACTGCTGGCACTTAATTGAAAAGGAAGTCTGAATTTAGGTTGTTGTGCTGTGTTCCTTGTTTGCAGTGAACCTGGGCAATCAAAGACTGCATTTGTTACATTCAGAGATCCAAAAGCTCTTGAAATCGCATTATTATTATCGGTGTGTACCAAATTTGGTATTTAGCTTTCTTTTCTTGATTTAAGAATTTTGTATTGATACCTTCACTTATTTAGTTCTTGCCTCATTGATCCCAAATATTATGCGTTGAGAAATCAGCAAATCTTGCAATGTCTTAACTCTTACTTTATGCTTTAAACCTCATGAAGTTATCACCCAAAGTCGGTTTCCTGTGCTTTTTGTAACTATTTATTTTATTTGGACTGGTTGAATGGAGGTTGGTGACTTCCAAGATAATCTCTTAGTTGGAATTTATTTTTCCTCAATGATTAATTGCTTAATTTCCAAGTAGGGTGTTGAAACACCCGTGTCTTCAATTATCTTAAAAGTTGGAGAATTTTGACTCCACTATGTTGATTATGCATGCATAGGCATGTGAAAGTAGATTCTTTTCTTCTTAATTTTAATTTTGGAAGAAAACACTTTGTGGCCAAGATCCATTATCCTCTGTTATGTTTATTGCATTATTTCATTTTTATAGCTGGGTCTTTTAAAGTGGTCAAAAATATGCTATGATTGCTAAAAATTCTCTGCTTCCCAAATCTTAGATATCAGAGATGCACTGAATTTTGTGGATAATCTTTTCTGCATGATATTTCTTGTGAGTTTGAAGGAAAATATATATTTTACAACTCTTATGTTTTGCCTTTTGAGCTGACCTAACAATAGCGAGGAAGCTTAAGTTGTCCTCCATTGATTTTCAGAATGCATGTAATACTAATTGTTATTTATTTTTCTTCCAATGTTTGGTGGGGATTGTCTTATTTTCTGTCTGGCAAAATGTCAATTGGGATGGCATAAATTTCTTTGATCTTGAACATGCAACTGGAAATATCTTTTGTTTTCTGTATGAAAATTTATCAGATAGTACTGAGGCCACAAGGCGTGACTGTAGAAAGTGAAAATCAAGTAATTTTATTTTGCAGGGTGCAACAATAGTTGACCAGATTGTGAGCATAACCCCAGCTGAAAATTATATACCGAAACATGATATGCAGGTAAGTTGACTAAAAGCTTAGCTGTCTCCTCTTTGAGTTCCTTGGCCAATTTTATATTTTTCAAGTACAACTCATGCAGGCAGTAGGAGCAGTGGACAATGCTGTGTCAGTAACTGCAGCTGAAAATATTCCCACAAATATTGAGGTAGCCGAACTTCAGATTAAGAATGTCTGGGAATGTTTTATATGGTGAACTTGTAAAATTGTTTCTCAGTTGCTCACTAGAGGTTGACTAAATTTAAGAAAGTGGAGTGACAATAATTTTGATGCATTTGGCTTCTTGGATGTGCATTTGATTTAACTTATTATTTAGAGCAAAAGTAGGGACCTTGATTTGATGCATTTGGGAAACCTGTTGCCTAGCTGAACCCAGGAAAAGGAGAAAAGAAGAAATATTAACTAATCTGTTTCAATTTAAACTCAATGTAGTGGGCATGATTGTAAAGTTATTAGTGCATGGCGTTGAGACTGTGCTTCTGCTTGGTGTGTTATGATATGATATGATATGATCAACACAAATAAATGCACCAAACAATAGCAAGTGTTTTGTCTCAGTCACAGGCTAGTTATTTTGATCATAATCCTATCTGAGCTTATAGGTTTAGTCATTATGTAGCATTGGAAGAATTTCTGTTGTAGTTTATATTCTAATGTGATGGCCACAGACAAATACATCAAACAACAGCAACAATTTTTTGATTCACTTAGTCACTACCTAGTCATTTTGATCATAACTGTATCTCATGAGTTTGGGGGCTCATGTATTGTGTCTTTTAGCAGGCTAAAACTAGTCCAGCTGGCAGTGGAAGGATATATGTAAATAGAGCACAAGATGTGGTTGCAAGTATGTTGGCAAAAGGTTCTGCTCTAGGACAAGATGCAATGAATAAAGCTAAAGCATTTGATGAGAAACATAGATTGACAGCCAGTGCATCTGCAAAAGTAATTTCTTTTGACAAAAGAGTTGGGCTTACAGAGAAATTGACCGTGGGTATCTCAGTGGTTAATGAGAAAGTGAAGTCTGTTGATCAAAGGCTGCATGTATCTGACAAGACAATGGCAGCAATTTTTGCAGCAGAGAGAAAAATAAATGACACAGGATCAGCTGTCAAATCAAGCAGGTATGAAAATTCCTCCTGAAATCGTATGACTCTGGTTTTACCTGGTCATCACATAAAACTCGTGATAATAAAAGGGGAAAACATTGATAACCAACTCCATCTTGGTTCTGAACAGGTATGTAACCGCCGGAGCAGCTTGGCTAAATGGTGCTTTTAGTAAGGTCGCGAAGGCTGGGCAGGTTGCCAGTTCAAAAACAAAAGAAAAGTTAAACCTAGCCATGTCAAACTTGACTGCCAAGGTGTGTTTTAATGTTTTTAATCTCTTATAGAAGAGCTAAAATAATTAAGCTTTATCTAGTTCTGCTCCCTTGCATTTTGGTGATTGTTGAACAAAATTTAGAAGGGTGCAAACCTGAGTGAGTCAATCCAGCACTCAGATTATCTTCAAAGTAATGTAATCAAACAATTTAGGTTAACTATCTAGCTGATCATGCCTTTTGTTTTGTTTTGAGCAGGATCCAATTGCTGTGTGAGTCAAAACATTAGGGTCCTAAGGTTGCATATTTTATCCTCTGGCTCTGGTCATCTGAAGATGGGGTCTAAAACTTGTCAAGGCATGCTTGCCGTAGTATGCACAGAATCCTTCTGGTTTGGCTTGATGTGTGCAGTAATGCAGTCCAGTATTTTTCCTTAGTTTTCAATATTCTTTGATTTCCCTAGGGTTTCCTCGTAATTTTGAAGTGTTGAGTCTTTACATTGCTTTCCAGCAAGACAATTTTCTGTAGAACTTCAATTGATATGATATGGGAGTCCAATCATTTTTCACTTATCTACATTTTTTTTTTAAGACGTCGGAAGATAGACTATGGTTAGACCTTTTTTGAACTTGAGGTCTCCAATGTGTCTCAAGTTTTTAACCATTGGAGATGTCTTTTCACTTATCTACGAGTTTAATCTTATTTTTTGAACAAATTACAAATTGGGAGCGATGGGAATCGAACTCAGCTCAGGAGGCTGGGGTGCACCTATCAAGGTCGCAAGGCCATTAGGCCGAGAGGCCAGGTGTTATCTACAAGTTTAATCTTGTAGTTCTTTCCTTTTCTTTTTTAAGAAAAACATGGTTATACTGTTGAAATTATGTGACAAAGCTTAGAAAACCTGAAGCCAGGTTGGAACCGTGGCTTGATCTGCAGCTCTTGATGCTTTAGTTGTTTCCAGCTTGGGACATACCCTTTTGTAACGTAAGGCCGAGTATCACTTGAACTTATTTTCTTTAATACGATTATTATTCATAAAAATAAAAAAATAAAAAATAAAAAGAAGAAGAAGAAGAAAAAAGGTGCTAGGGACAAGCCGAGCTAAACTGAGGTTTTCTCAGGGTGTAGCTACAGCTGTTCCTCCTCACTTGATACCCAACCCCCAGGATTCAAGTTCTTTTTATTAAAATTCAAATATTTTAATAAAAATAAAATAGTAGATTTTATAAATTAAATTTATTGTTTTATTAAGAATTTGATTAAATTAATCATTGTGAGTTAATTGTCACACTTAAGTGCACATTATTTCATAATAATTATGTAATTTATTTTTATTATTAACCTATAAATGAAAGTTACATGAACATGAGTCAATAAATAAAATATGACTTTTTGCTCAACTAAGTGAAGTTTCTTTACATTCTTCTACTTTTTACCTTGCTCTATTTTCTATATTTTTTTGGGCAAAGAAGGTTGTTTTAAGTTAGGTGACTTTATGGGTAATGTAAATTTATAGTGTTATTATGAAATTATAGAATTCTACTGGTAACATGCTATCGACATTTTTACTGCACCTATAGATCTACTCTTTGCATAGGCATAAGTCGCCTTAAAGCACAACAAAGATATGGTGTAGAAATGAAGACTGTTTAAAGAATAACAATTTTAAGGCGATTCAATCTACATCCTATGATCTATCTAAGGTTGGATTTGGAATGAATCCAATATTTGTGAATTAGAAAACAAGGGCACACTTATGCCAACTTGTGGAAGCAAACTATAAATATTTATTTTTGGTGTGTAAAACAAGTGCGTTGAAACAAGTGTGTTAGAACAGGTATGAGGTTTTGGATCCTAATCTAATTTTTAGCACATGCTTCAATGGTATGCGATTTATTTTTAATGGCACAAGATTGCCAAAAAAAAGAAGAAAAAAAAGAGAAATTTTAAAGAAGTGAAAAATTTTGTGTTGTCTCCAAAATCTCTCTTTCTAACTACATGGTAGTTAGAATTACAAAGGCATGCCACTCACTCTACTCAAAGTGAGAAAGAAGGCTTCCCAGTGACCCTCACTACTTCCAACTGTGGAACTCGACTGCAGGTTAATGAAAGAGCACTGGTTAAATAAATTATGATATGTGTCTTGGTTAGATGATTATTGCAAAAACGAGGGTGCATTCTTATATAAAGATCCATAAATAATTGCCCTAGAAGAACATTAAGGACTTCCCACAACTAGAGTTAAAATGTTAGTTTGCTTATCAAAATAAAAGAGAATAATAAAGGAAAAGAGAAGAAAAAGAGTGCATGGCAAGAAAACTAAATTGTAGGAAGAAAGTGTGATGTCACTATGAAAGCGTGTAAATGTAAAGAATGAGAAAAAGGTTGAAGTGTAAAACTAAATTTAAAGAAGCTAGAAACATGAATTTAGAGTAAAGTGTAGTCAATTGAATTGCAGAAAATCAAATATATCAATGGAGATGTTCAAAACAAAATAACAAAAACTAGAACTAAACCTAGTGGCAACATAGAGTTAAGGACCAAACTAGAAAAGCTGTTTGAAAAGGCTAAATCTAAACTAAAACATTGCTCATGTAAATTGAAATGTAGATAGTGTTCGGCTCATTGTGTGAGAGGTAGGTCTATCTTACTTTAATTCATCCCTGTGTATTTATAATAGTAAACACTCCTTGGCAGCATGTTGGAGATCTATGATAACATCTTGAAATCTAACGGCAACATGAAATCTACAACAAATTGATTAACCTGTTACTACTATCGATTATGCTCCTAGAAATTCACAACAAACAAACAACTTTGTTAATGATGTGGAAACAAACATCCATGTTGATTTTGAAGAAAAATCAGTCATTGAGTTTGACTCAATTAATGAGATCACCACATGATAGTTTCTAACAACGTATTTAGACTCTAAATTTAGAACAAATGGACTTGTGGCTCGTTCTAATTAATTTGCAAAAATGGGCGTAAACAATGCCCCCCAAAACTGGGTGCAAGAAAACAAAGAAAGGGAAACAAAGTTTTGAGAAAATTTGGTCCCAAAAACCCAATTGGTAAGAAGCCAAGGAAAAGCAAAAAGAAGGGGCCAAAAAAGGAAAAAATTGAAAATGGTAATTTCTTCAACATTGCATGGAATATCATCTAGTAGACATGGCAACTTCATGGAGAAATAAGCCAACTAAAAGTACATTTGCAAAATTGGAAAAATATGGCCTCCACAAAGAACAATTCCAAGAATTCCCTTTGTCGGCTTACATGGAGACATAAATCAAGCACACCTCCATAAAAAGTATAGTGTTTTAAGAATAATGTTATCTCACAACCTTTCTCAAGGTCGCTTTAACTGCAAGACTATTCACATTAATTGTAAAAAATTAAAAACGAAAACTAAATTAAAACTGACCTCCACCCAAACCTGACTTAGGCAAAGAGATAATTATTTCCACTTCGATCTACTACATGATTTGCAAACCAAAAGGCAATATGGCTAAAATGGCAAGCCATTTATTTTAATGGGTGCAAATTGCCATCAAGATTCCTTAACCAATATGTGCCTTTATCTAATACCTTGTGCATCTACAAAGGTTCATATTGTTGGTAGAATATCTCTTAGGCAGCATGCCTCCATCTAATGGCAACATGCCTCCATCTAATGGCAACATGCCTCTTTTAATAGGAACAAAGGTTGTGATGACCTTCTTATGATTCTTCCCTTTGTTTGCTTTAGTAAACATGTTTACCTTGTTCTTTGCTGCCTCCTTGCTACTACAGGCTACATCTTGCTTCCTTGTGAAAACAAATTGGAGATTTGGAATGGAACTAGGAAGTTCAACAGTAGACTCACCAAAGCTAATTGTTTTACTACCGATGTTAAGCTCATTAGTTGCCTTTGAGCCATTCAACTTGAGAGAAACATGCTTGGCAAGTGTCCTTGAAGACATGACCACATTAATTAATTTTTGATTTGCCTCTTAAGAGGTTGCACCATGTTTCTTCTTCTTTATCTAGATAAACCTTTGCATTATTGGAGGTTATTGCCTTTGGGAAAGATGCACCTTGGCAATAGGATGCCTTTGATGCTCTCTAGCTGGTTTCTTTCGAAGTTGCCTTCAAAGAGTGTTAGGATTCTGGATAGGAAATTCCAGGTGGGCCACTAAGTTTATATTTTGCCTATGCCTTCATGTCTAAATGCTTGATCATGCCCCCCATGCTTTTATTCAGAGACATGGGTCTGGTGTTGAAGTTCTTTCTTCCATGTCCAATAAAGGTCTTTAGGTGTTATCCTCTATGTTTGAGTTGGCAAATAAGGAAGCATGATGTTTCTTATGTTGCCTCCCATGTTATCCTTGTATTTGCGGGGAAAATCTAAGAATTTTTTATGGAAGCCATTTTAGAAAGAATCATTTTTGCTATAAGTATTTGAATATGGCCGGCAACATGTTGACCAAACTATTTGTTGATATACAGGCCTACATGCCATTTTGGAGGAGACACCTGACAATGAGTTTGCAAGTTGCTAAGGTGGACTAGGCTTGCAAACATGTTTTGGTTGTGCAAACATTGGTTGGATGCTTAGATTGGCATTAGATTGTAATGGCATAAACCTTGTTGCCTCTTTTTCTATAGCTTTGGAAACTTTATTAGCAATAAGGTCTTGCTATTCCTGTTGTTCATTCTAACTAGGTTGCCTTCCAAAACTGGAAATAATTCGTCTCTTTAGACTAACGACTTTAAAGGGATATTTCAACTTCAACCATTGTCCATAGTTGAACTTAGAAAGGCTTCAACCACTAAGGAATCATAGTTGTTGCAAACACTTCTTAAGCAAAGCAAAAGGAATATGCTCATTAGTCTCAAATGAAGTAGAGATAGATGAGGTGAATACCTTATTAGATTTATGTATTGATGTCGACCAAAGTGTTGGATTTTGTGTGGCAAGATCAGTTTGTTGTTCGCCATCAGATAGACCTTGATTAATGGATGGCTAACTCACCTGTAATTGAGTTGGTTTATGCCTACCAAGAGTAGGAGGACTATTGCTATTATTAGTCTTTATAAACTTAGAATAACTTGGAGGCATACTTGCTGAAGTCACCTCCAAAGCTGCATGGCGTCATTGACTTTGGGCAGCACACTGTAATTGTGATTCATGCCCTTCCAGTGTGATCATGGGGTTACTCTCTAACCTTCGTGTCATTTGACCTTCATTTATGGTTGTAGTTGGCATCTTTGTCACGTTTTGTGATTTGTGAAATTGCTTTAAAGTTCCTAGAGACATGTACTTCTTTGAATCCTTCATTCAGACCTCACTTTTGGGTTAAGTCTCAAGTTTTAGAAGATTTCCATTTGATTTGCATCTTTTCCAACATTCCTCTAAACTCCTCCTCCATTCCATATGAAGCCTTTCAGAGTCCTCATCAATATTAGATGCCATTTTAGTGAGTGATCTTGAAAATTCAGTATTTGTTGCTACCTTCTGACCGTAGAGTGGATTGACATAAAAGGAAGTATGTGGTGGAGTTACAAAGAGCTTATGGTGGTCATCAGAATAAAGAATTACCATGGTGGCACAATCTACTAGTAGAAGATATCATCAACAAACTTGTGAAACCCAAGGTGGGTCTCACTGGGTGTACTAAAAAGAGATTGTTGTCTCTAAAGTCTCTTTTTTTGACTGAGTGGCAGATAGGACTACAAAGTTGTGCCACTTTGCTTAAAGTGAGAAAAAGGGATTCCTAGTGACTCTCACTACTTTGAAGCATGGAACCTGGCTATAAGTTGATAGAAGAGTATCGGTTAAATAAGCTATGAGAAGTGCCTTACTCAGATGATTGTCACAACCACGGGGGTGCATTCATATATAAAGGTCCATAAATAATTTCCCTGGAAGAACATCGGGGACTTCCTACAACTAGGGCTAAAATGTTAGTTTACTTGTCAAAATAAAAGAGAAAAGTAAAGGAAAAGAGAAGAAATAGAGTGTAGGGTAGGAAAACTAAATTGTAGGATGTTGTTGCAAAAGCATGTAAATGTAAAAAATGAAATAAAGGCTGGCACATAAAACTAAACTTAAAGAAACTAGGAGATGAATTTAGAATAAAGTATAGTAAATTGAATTGCAAGAAATCATATACATTAATGGAGATTTTCATAACAAAATAACAAAAACTAAAAGTAGACCTAGTGGCAATGCTGAGCTAAGGACTATACTAGGAAAGCTGTTTAAGAAAACTAGATCTAAACTAAGAGGTTGCTCGTGAAAATTGAAATGTAGATAGCGCTAGGCTAATTATGTGAGAGATAAGTCTGTCTTGCTTCAATTCATATTCCTGTATTTATAGCAATAAAAATCCCTTGGCAACATGATGGAGATCTATGGCAGCATCTTGAAAACCAACAATAGTATGAAATTTGCAACAAATTGATTAACTCATTGCTGCTACTGATTATGCCTTACAAATTTACAACAAATGAATGGCTTTATTGATGACATGAAAATAAACATTCATGTTGATTCTGGGGAAAAAGCAGTCAATGAGCTTAACTCAATTAATGAGACCACCACATGGCAATTACTAGCAACATGTTTGACTCCTTCAAATTTAAAACAAATGGGACGTGTAGCTCTTTCTAATTAATTTGAAAAAATGGGCATAAACAATTTGTTACAATTTTGTAAGAATATTAATACCTTTCAAATGAATACATCAAATAAAATTGCATTGGTCCTTCTACTTTAGCCTTATATGGAAGATGGATCACTAGGTGCTTTATCAAATCAAAGAAAGACATAGGGAATATGCTTTCAAGTTGGCGTATGGTTTCTACAATTTTCACCTACTAAATCTCCGTATCATAAACTCAAATGACTAGAGAACACAAGGCACTGAAAAATTCACTAATCTTTGTGATTGCTTCCTAAACGAAATTGGAAGAAGACTCCGCATGAATACGTGACAGTCATGACTTTTCATCTCGTTTACTCTTGTCTGATGGATGTTCACACCATGAGATATCGGATGTAAAACCATTTGGGAATCTAAGATTCTTTAGTCATAGGCATACTGATTTTCTCTGGTCCCTATTTAACATATATGTGGCCTTCGATTTTTTTCCAACATCAAGGCCCCTATCTAATATATAAAGACTTGGCCTATGGCAACAAAATTCCATATCCAACCTTGCCTTGAAGTTGTTTTTCGTGTATGAGTCATCCATAATGGTGTGAGAGGCCAATGACAAAAGTCTTTGTGTACAAATCGATTTGAAAATACCTTATTGTTTTCTTTTTTTATGTGTCTTTGGCAGAGAACCAAAAAGTGACGCAAAAATAATTTAAAGCCATTACATTAGAATGACAACTAATTCACAATATGATCTCGCCGAGTGTCCACGCTCTAGTCAAGTCATGCTTTTCCTCTAACAGGAGAGAAAGTGAGTAGGGACCAACCAGGAGCATTATGTGCCAACAAAAATGTGTTTTGCGGACTGCAAAATATCGGATTCATGTGCCAAGTTAATACACACCCGTTAATCTTCCCACACCTCGGGGCCAAAAATGGAGGGAAAAAGAACAGTCATATAAGGACAATATAATGAAAATTTTTTTTCTTTTCCTTCTTTTGCTTTTGTATTAGAAGGACAAATGTGTAAGGAGAAGAAGAAAAAGAAAGGAAAAGAGAAAGATTGATTGGAAATGAGGTGGACCAAACGGACGTGAGCAAGACAGAGCTTGAGCAATTGTGGAAAAGTAAAAGTTGAATATGATAACCCCATGAAGGGCATTATATTAATTAGAGATTGAAATGAATTTCTTGAAAGAAGAATCCATAACTTGAAACTTATAATGTGATTTAACTCCGGGTTTTAATAATTATTGAAGGTCTTTGCTAAATCTACTGTTTGACACCTTCAGGTTACCATTAGTAGTTTATACAGTTATTTAATTATCTAAATAAAAAAATATATTGTATATATGAGTCAACCCTTTTTTTTTTATAAGACAAACTAACTAATTAAAACTCTTATAAACAAGAGAGATGAAAAGGGAGAATAAAGATTCGAAACCTACATATGACCTACATATGACCTAAACTTATGATCTCTAATTAACTTGTAGAGTAAGAGTAAGCAGAAATTGCCATGAGGCTGTTAGAGATGTTAGCACAACTTGTATTTTCCTTTAAAATTATTTTAGTTGAGGACTACGGTAGGGGCCTATCTATGAAAAGAAGCTATTTATTTTTGAGAATTTTTATATACCTTCCTTTGCAATGAACAAGTAAATATTCATGTATCCATGAAAAGTTACAAGAGATTGAGATTATTCAACTATGGTTGGATTTTTTTAATAGAGAAGAGAAAAGCATCTCAACTTTTGCCAAACCCAAGCATACATTGTAGATCTGTAGTTGGTTAGTTGCACTTGCTCAAAGTTTCATCTAAAAGAACCAAAGAGCTCTTTCTAAAGGGACGAGAGAATTTTTCTTCTCTTCTTGCAATATTCACAAATTAAAATGAATTTACATGAATAATTAATGAGATTAAGTGAGTCAAATAATGAGAACAACAGCTGTCCAATGACCTTGTAACGTGATGAGTGATGACAATCTCCTTTTTGTTAGAATTAAAGGCCTTTGAATTCGATTCATGATTGTATTGTAATTGAAGAATCAAAATATGTAAAATTTAAAATATCAAGATATAATAAATTAAATAAATTACATATTAGATATGATGCTCCATAAATACTCCATAGATTTTGTAGAAGTTCATAGGAGTCAACTCTTAAGGATTTGCTAAGACCTTTCTCTTCTTGCACCACACAAATGACAACTCTTGATGGGTAGATACCAAACAATTAGTGTAAAGACTAAAGAGGGGACCTAGCGTTTAATTTATATTAGAACCCTAATAACAGTCCTTCCCATAAAGCATTTCCCTGTTGTAGCCTATTGGTGGCCACTGCAGCTCAATAGGACTGCCGATGGATTGCACCCCTGATCAGTGATCGAACCTTGCCAAGAGCAAATATTAACCTAACTTCTAACTTCTAACTTTTAACTTTTAACTTTTAACTTTTAACTATTTTCCCTGTCAAAAAAAAAAAATCCTTCCCATAAAGGGTCTATTAGGTTTGGATCTACACTGGCCATCTCCACATTATACTCACAAGATGTAACTTTTAACTTTTAACTATTTTCCCTGTCAAAAAAAAAAAATCCTTCCCATAAAGGGTCTATTAGGTTTGGATCTACACTGGCCATCTCCACATTATACTCACAAGATGTTTCTAAGCCTACACATAAAGGATCCCGATAATTGGGTTTCTCACAATTGTCTTAATATTTTGAACTAGTACAAGTCAATCTATTTTATTAAATCAAAACACCAATTAGTGGAAGCCCACACAAATAGAAAATTTCTAAGAGATGGCACTTAAGTGGGAGTAGGAAATTAGCAGTAGAAGCTTCTCCCGTTGCTTAACCCACCAATAGAACATTAATGAGAGCAAGAGCTTCTTAGTCTTTGGTGACTTGTTTGGGTTTGTGCTCATTTTCTTGAGAACTCTACCTAGCCTTTTTTAATTAAGTGGGAGCAGGTATAACAACTTAGAAAATGATTATTCCTGACACAACATAGTAAAACTAATCTCTAATCATTTCTTGAATATTATTATGTGATGATCATTTGAAATTTTGGACCTAATCAGCAAATTTTCAAACAAAACAATACCAAATCTTAAGCCCTTATCTTCTTTCTAGCTATCATCAACCCTTTAATCATTTGGTACTTTTCTTTTTGAGACCCGGTTTTAGTTGGATTTGTACCTTAATTATTCACTTCCTATGGTTATTATATTTTCATCATGCACCAGCTTAATTAAGTTTATCTTGCAATTCACACTAAAATTAAGAAATTCACTGGAAATAAGTCAACTAAAATACATGGCATCATAACACAAGAATTTCTTGGATTCCAATATTTACAAAGGAACCTATTCCTAGGACCTCTTTAGGCTTTAGCCCCAAATAACATAAACAAAAAAATTTAATGAAAAAAAAAATCATGATGGTGTCTCTCTCTGTCCTTGAATTTACTATTGGGATTCCTCTAATAAACCACGCTTTTTACTAACTTTGATGTACCTGAAAGCTCACAAATATATACACATACTGCAGGCAAGCAGACAAGCATAAGAATTAAGTAAACAGTGGGTGCTACATTAACGGTGCTTTGATGGGTGCGGTGATACTTTTTCCTTCCTAATGGAGCAATCTTCATTGTTGTGTGCATACCTTTTTCTTGAGAGATCCCTATGCTTTACTGTTAATTAAATTCCAAAAGTGTGGAGGCCCATATTTTTACCTCCTCATGCTGCTTTCTTCCTTTGTCTTCTCCTCGTTATTTTCAGCGCAAAAAGTCCTCAAGCACTCTCCCCTACATCCTCTGTTCTCAGAACAGGACAACACCATCCCTCCAAAACCCACCAGCCTTTTCATTATTCTATGCCTTGTGGTGACCTGTATTTCATGTGCTTTTCCTAATTTTTGTCCTTCTTTATTCATTTTTCTTTAATCCTTCCACATAGTCCCTTGTCCTTCCTCCTTTTGATATATGTTCTGTCTTTGTTTGAGTTTAGGCCTGAGAGAGAAACTTGAGTGCTTGCAGCAGCCTTGTAGGTGTTTGATTGTTGAATCATGAGAAAGAGAGAAAGAAGAGAGTTCTTAAAAGAAGGAAAAGGGGTGTTTGGAATGAAGTTTGATCCAAGATCCTTGTCTCTCCCCTTTATCTCTCTTCTAACCTTTTGCATGTATTATAAGAATTTTGGGCAGTGATTATCAATCTCATCCTTCTTAGTTTGACTGTTACATGAAAGAAAAAGAGAAAGAGATATCTTGGGGATGGGAAGGGGGTGTTTGGAATGAAGCCTGATCCAAGATCCTTTGCTTGTTTTTTCATTTATTATCACCCTGTGTATCTGTGTGTTCGTGCACGCATGCGTGTGTCATGAGAAAAGGAGAGGATGGAAATATCTTCCATGAAGAAGAAAAGGGGTGTATGGAATGAGGTTTGATCCAAGATCCCTTCATCTCTTCTTCCTTCTCCATTTAGGTTATGGACGGATCTCGGACCAGGCTTCATTCCTCACACCTTGCTTTTCCTTGCTTCGACACACATGGTTACTTGATCAAGGCAAGCTCCCATATTCTTAACCAGGTTTGACAGGAACTCTATAATCTTTGTTTCCATAGTCTCTCATGAATATAAATATTTCTGCATAAATATTTTCCAGGATCTATATACACTTATATATGTGTGTGTGTGTGTGTAAATAATAAAGGTTTCAGAGAAGAGGATTTTTGTTTCCTCCTAGTGCTATAGCAGATTCTCCGACAAAGGTAACGAGACATGTTCTTATCTTGGCTGCTTTATACACTTTATCATCTCCATATATTGTTTGTAAGTCTAAATGTTGATGATTTTTCATCCTAGATACTACTGTGATCATACAAACCATTTTTGTTTCTCATTGATCAATTCAGCATCAAAATCAATATCTATCCGAGGTATAACCGTTCATCTTTTAAAAAAAGAAATCGGAAAGGGAATTTAGTGCTTAAAAGAAATGTAAAATTTAATTTATTACATAAAAACATGACATTCTCTGTATATATGTCTTCGCGGATATAAACCCTAGCCAGTAGCAGTGTTTATGTAACATATACGGCAAAATATAATCAAGTGAGTGTGGATTTCAATGTCATTCATGTGATCTTAGAAAAAGAATTTCATGTTCATTTAATGTAAAAACTACAGGGCAAAAGGGAAAACACTGAACAATAACAAAGAAAAAGGCAGATGCTTATTCAATTATTTGCACCCATTTATCATTTTGAGCAGTGATTTCACCTGTACTCACTGCTCATTCTTCGCCTTTTTGTGCTCATGCTTGCATGCTACTCCAAGTTATTCACTTTCTTATAATATTTCTGTTTCTTTTTGTGTGCTGCAGTTTGGATACTTGTCTAGATGGAAGTTCTAGCTTCTGTGAATACTTTTCTTTTACTAGGGTTTACCTTCCTTTTCTTTAGTTTAAATTCCTTTTCACTTTGGTCCCCTTCTTGTAATTTGTGCAGGATAAGTGATTGTTTTACTCATATGAATCTTAGCATATATATATATATATATATATATATCTTAAATTTTCTGAAT